TTAATGTGCATATCCTATAGGAAAAGCATTTTAGGGGGCCCTTGGCTTTTGGGGTTCCAAGGCGGTCGCCTACCTTTGCCTAATGGGTAAGTCCGCCCCTGCCCAAAGGTTGCGAGTACGAATCTCGGGTCCGGCAGGGGTGGGGGGTGGGGGGAGTGAATGTACAGCGCTCTCTCCCACCTTCAATACCACGACTGAGGTGCCCTTGCACCGAACCTCGCCATACTTGGCCACATGTCACGTCACTTTCACTTTTTTTTTTTTCACTTTCATTTTACACAATTATTTTTAATATTCATTCAAATTATATCGGCTTTATATCGGCCATCGGCCACCCTGCTTTCCAAGATATCGGCATCGGCTGTCAAAAAACCCATATCTGTCGACCACTAGTAAACACCACTGTTATCTGTTTGGATGGTTAATAACAATTCACGCCGTGTTTAAAAATGCATTAAAAGCACCTTTAATTTGGTAAAAGGAGTTCATCTGGGCTGCGGTAATGGTTTGGTAATGCTGACCTTGTTTTGTCTGCCTGGTTTACCTCGGACTGATCTGATAATAGATTCTCCCTCACAGCAATGAATCTTTTAGACCTAAATCTGGGTTCCAGAAGTATCTGTGAAATATTCACTCTGTTTAATGAAATATCGAAGCATCACTTTCATTTTGTAATAATAAAGGTCACTGGAATGGTACATTTGTCTCAAAGCAACACTGCGGTCCACTTTGTTTGTGCAGAGCTAAAGTTAATGATAGAATTCATTTGCATTCTTCAACAAACCTTCATTTGTGTGACCAGATTTGAAGTTGAAATTAAGTCTAATTTGCATGCAGCACCTTTGCTGATAGTTTAGCCATATTTTCATGTCTCCATACTACACTTTCTGTGCTCCATCTGCATGAGCTTTGGTCCTCACAGTGGAGTAAATGTCAACCTTTGTCAAAGCTGTCTCGAGCTTTAGGGCTTTGCTTTCATAGCTTTTTCTTGAACCTTTCTGTCAGCTTGTCTCCATACTGGATCTTACTGATCTCTGAGCTTTGAAAGGGTCAGGTGGCTCTCTGCAGCTGTGTGCTCCATTCCCTGTAGTCCTAACGGTAATCTAGGTAAAAGCTCATGAGGTTCTCAAGTCACCATCCACTGACAAGGCAATTTATCTCATTTAGTGGACGTCTAGCACTCGACCAGCAGTCGCTTTTTGTCTTGCACACGCTCATACACGCTTGCACTTACACCTTGAAGTGGCACAGGACAGAACATTTTTCAACAAACTTCAAGTTATAGAGTCTGCTTGACCTTCTTTTACTTCTCTCTCCAGTGTTACTTTTCACACTCAAAAAAAAAAAATTATTATTATTATTATATAAAATAAAAAAAGTTTTATAGTCTGCTTGACCTTTTACTTCTCTCCAGCGTTACTTTTCACACTTAATACAAAAAATATTATTATTATTATTATTATTACTGCTACTAATAAAATATAATGCTTTTTAGTTTTATAGTCTGCTTGACCTTTTACTTCTTTCCAGCGTTACTTTTCACACTTAATAAAAATATTATTATTATTATTACTGCAACTAATAAAATATAATACTATTTTTACATCAACAATAATATTAATAATAATAATGTATTCTCATTAGTAGCATTATTAATAACAGTTATTAACATTTAATAATTTATTGATGATGATGATTATTATTATTAATTTACTAAATAAACATTAAACAGAATAAATATATATTATTAAATATATGATAAGTATTAGCACAAAATATAAATAATACTGTGATTTTTTTAATTATTATTTTATTAATAATAATTAATAGTTATTGCTAAACAGTCATGGTAAAGAGTTTTACGTGGGCGAGCGTAAATTAATTATGCTTAATTTTGTAATTTGTCAAAAATATACCTTGCTGTCATTATTATTATTATTATTATTATTATTGTCAAATGCATGTGAAAAGTTAAGCCAAAGCTGCTATTATTACTATTATCATTAATATTTATTTTATTTATTCAGCTAAATAAATACAAATGTATTTATTATTAGATGTAAAGTATGATAATAAATAACAGCACAAAGGTATAATGCTATGAATGTTTTTTTTAAATGAATAATTATTAGTTTTTGCAAAGCATCGCGGTATAGAGTTTTGCATGGGCAAGCACAATCTTAATTTAATGCTTAATTTTGGCATTTGTCAAATTAACCTAATCAGACAGTACAAACTCTCTACTCCACAGAAAAATTAAAGTCAACCACATAAACATCTGCAGCATGCTGTGGTCATCAGTTCTCATTTATATTAAAAGCTGACTGTTTTTGATATATTGAACATTGTCATGACTTTATTTGAAAATGTCGAGCAAGGCTGCTCTGTTTCGTTTTGTTTACTCCGAGGCGCAGGGGTTTTATTACAGGCATTGATCAAAGTGATGGCACGCTTTGAGTGATCGGCTCTCCCATAATCTCCGATTGTGCTCATGCTGATGGCATCGTAATCTGGAATGACAGTCCACAGGCTCAAATGTTCTTTTAAACCTGCCTACATACAGCACTGAATGTGGCGAATGCTGGCGGCATCCAACCAGACAACCTGTTAAGTGAATTCACATGGACGAGATAACAGCTCACCTTGTGTTTGAAGAGCAAGGGCGAGCGCACAGACGTCATCTAGGCCGTCGAGGCGCTGGGGAAAACTCTACGGAGCGATGCACGTTTCGATGTGTTGACCTCATCCTTGATATGCATACATAATGAAGCACGTCCTCGTTTAGAGCCGTACAGCGGGAATTATGATCAGTAGTGTGTTTAGATGATACTGACTCTTCGTTGGATGCTTCATGCCTCTGATTTCCCATGATTTAATCCCAGTTGTATGATTGTTGTTTTACTGCTGCACACCAGTGCAGTGCTTTTATTCTTTGGTAAATTTTGACAAGTCATTGCATTGCAGTTTGATTTCTGCCTGTGCCGTCTGCTTCTCTGGTGTTTAGAAAGGCTGTCACGCAGCGATCTGGCCATGCTCAGGGGACCTTTGCTTTGTGGGCTTTCTGACTCACAGGATGAATTACAAGAGGGATGAGTAAATCTGGCATTCTGAGACAGATCTGCTCACCTCCTTCGCCAAAGTAACCCTTCAAAGATGAAGAAGAGCTAAACCCTGCACAACAAATATTGTATATCTTCAGTATTTGTTTAATTGGGAAATAACGTAAAAAGCTTTCATTTAAATATTAAAGACTTAAAGGTGTAATCACAGAAACTGCCTGTCAGGAATAGAGTCGAAAAGGATGCAGAACTAATTTTTGAGGCAGGAATCCTGGGCCAACATTACAAGTGGATCTTAATATGCTTAATTAGTGCTGTGTTGTGAGTGTATCTTAAGGGGTTTTTTTTTTGACGTAAGCATGTGTTTTGATGACACATTTTGGTTTAATATGAGAGATTTGTGGTAATTTAAATGTTTTCTAATTTTGTTAACATTTTATCAAAGGTTTTATTGTAATGTGAATTATTTGTGACCCTTGGACAAATCATTAAGAATTTTTTATACTGAACTTGTATATTTTATTAGACAGAAATATGTTGTTATAGCTAGTTGTGTTAATTGTGGCAGGCCAAAAATATTATTTCATTTTGATTATATATTATGTAATAAATTATTTTCTTATTTAAATACATTATATTTAAATCGGGTGTGCCTCACACGTCCTGAAAAGTGAAACTGCGGGCTCTTTGATCACCCCCTGGTGGCTGGCTGCAGTACAGGCAAATGACGTAATTTACTCAAGATGGCAGCAGCCATATTGAGATGCTTTGGCTTCACTTTTCTATAGTGGAAGGAATAGGAGACGCGTCGTCCATCTTTTTTTACAGTATATGATTTAAATATTAACATTACCATCCAAATTTTGGGTCGGTAAGTAATTAAAAAATAATGTATGTATGTGCTGAATATGTTTGTGGATTTTTATTTTGACGGATTATTTGATGAATAGACAGTTCAAAAAAGCAGCATGTATATGAAACAGAATTTTTTGTAACATTATGAATGTTTTGTTACTTTTGATCAGTTTAATGCATCCATGCTGATTAAAAGTATTTACTTCTTTAATAAACAATCTTACTGTCCCCAAACTTTTGAGTGGTAGTGATAACAATGTATTTATTTTTATTTCAAGAATTAAACACAAGTGTTGAACATGGCCCCTTTACGTATCACTTAAACAAAAATTCTGTTTCTGGATAAAAGAGCTAAAGCCAGTTTAGTCCGCTTCGGCTCAGTGCGATATCATCTCAGCAGCCAGCAGATATGCAGCATATTTGCTGGTTGAGGGATTCGTAGCGGCTCCCTGATGGTTTGAAATGTCAGAGGAGTGGAATGAAGGGCCAGGTAGCAGACAGAAGATGACAGGCAGGCAGCAGGTTTACAGTGGGCCGCGTGCCCTCGTCTTATCTGCTGTTATCAGCCGTCTCCTGGATCCTGCCCTCAGCAGAATATCAATGCCTCTCTTTCTATCAGTCGACTCTGTGTATCATGCAAATAAAATAAATATGGTGAGTTTATGGGAAGGCAGGGGCAGCCAGAGGTTACACGGCTCTGCCGCTGCTGTGTACGGATGAGGTTAGACTAACCTCTGTGTGTCTGTCTGTCTTTCTTTTACTTCAGGTGTTCAGGAGGAAAGCTGTTGAACTAGGAGAGAAGCTGTTGCCGGCTTTTAAGACCCCGACTGGCATCCCTTGGGCTCTTCTGAACCTAAAGAGGTCAGTGACGCACAAACAAACACATTTCCGCATGAACTCCCGAGGCTTTCTTCAGCCAACCAGGTCAGATCTCTCCACTGCATTTCTTATTGACTCACAAGCACTGTATCTGAATCCTCAAACCCAGCAGCGGCTCTCTGTCACCTGTGCACCCGGCTCTCCGAGATATGATAATGAATAAACAGTTTGGTGGGATTATTTTGTTGCAGAAGCCATTTTCTGCTCAATTCTTTGACTGCTTAAATGCTGCTTGCTTTGTTGGTATTTATGCTGTTGTACTTTTTTTTACTAATTTGAATTAGTAATTTGACATATTTCAGCTACCTTGGTCTCAGAAATATCAGTTAAAGGGATAGTTCACCCAAAAATCTACATTTGCTGTTAATTTACTCACCCTCAGGCCATCCAAGATGTAGGTGAATTTTTTTTTTCAGTATAACAGTTTAGCTGAAACCGTGGTCCTTGGTGATTCATAAAATGCAAATCAGCTTTTATTTTTTAATAAAAGCATATACAGGCCGGACAAAATTAATATCTGTGGCTAGGGCTGCTTGATTATGGCAAAAATCATAATCACGGTTATTTTTGGTCAATATTGTAATCACGATTATTTAACACGATTATTAGTGGGTCATATGAACAAAACTTTATATTGGTGAAAAAAGTCCTCAAAAATGATTGAAAATAATTAAACTGTCAGTAATACAATAAAAACAAAAAAGCAAAGGTAGAAAAAATATACAAATGAAATAAACAGTGCTTTTTTATTCAAGTCTAAAGTATTCAGCTAACAGCATACAACAGAAATTGAATAATCAAATGTAAAATAAAACCGCATAGTCTTCACTATAAGAATTAAACTTGCTTTGTTTCTTATTAAAGTTACAAAAATCCTCCAGTCAAGAGCAGTGTGTGATTTTCTGTCTTTTGTGGTTTGATACGGCATAAGGAATATTACCCGCTGTCGCTTTAAGAGCTGCAGGGATCCAATATACTGTTACACACGTATTTTCATTCTCAACTGTTTACGTTCACTTAAGCCATAACTGACGATTGTTTACATGAATAATCACCAAGCACCGCATTTTGACACATTTTTGCGTGTATTTGACCATTTAGGCAGGCAGTTTAAGTTAAAAGTTTACTTTACATGTCCGTGTCCTGCTCCGTGTCGGAGCGCATACACAGAACAGCACAAGTTTTTCTTTCACGCTTGTAAAAACATGCACAAATCTAATAAAAATTAATAAATCAAGCACGTCCTATTTTGCGCAAAATCACGTTACAGGATTTTACTGATTTGCACATTAAGTTTGGGCTTTTATGGAGGAGAGAAACCGCACCGCTGGAATGGGGCACAATAATCGTTTGATCTCGATTATTGGATTTTCATAATCGTTGGAAGCCGAAATCGAAACTGTATTTCGATTAATTGCACAGCCCTAGCTGTGGCTCCTGAAGATATCTTGAGGTCTTATGAAGCTAAACAATCAGTCTGTGCAAGAAACTGAACAATATTTACAACATTATTACCTGTAAAGCAGATTCATATATTCATATAATCTAAAATATTGATATATGGGTATGCATTCATGTTTGTTTCTTCATAATCAAATACAGATTTTGGCAGTGCACATGAGGTTTTAATCATAAACAAGTACATTTCAAATCAGATGTTTATGTAGTTAGATAAACACTAGATTTGAGTGATTTGACTGTGTATATACCATGTCGTGGTCAATGAGTAAAGATTTTTCTATATGTTTATAATGCATCACGGTAGATGCTGTAAGTCAAGACGTGGAGTTTAGTGGTTTGCAGCTGCCACATTAATATATGTGTGTCATATGTTCAATAGATGTGCATCATGGTTGTGTGTATTTTGGCAGTTTTGTAGTGGCTTCAAACATAACTCATCCAGTAAGAATTGAGTTTGAGCTGTTTTATAATGTTATTTACAGAACATTAATCCTGTAAAGCCTGACATGAAATAATAGTCCGAAAAATATTTTTTTTTGAAATGGAACAGTTTATTGAATCTTTAGACAATCTTAAAAAAAAATCTAATATTTAATGTATCAAATATCATATTTGGTATGTCAGGGTTATGTTTCATATAGAATGATAAATGAGGAAAAAAGGGCCCAAAGTAAGTCAAATATGCAACTTGTTGCAGTTTTTGATATTTCTATCAAAAGGTAAAATGAAATTTTGATACATTGTACTGTACGTCAATGAGATGTTTATATTAATATATCAGATTACTGACATAAAATGCTTATAAATATCAGATGTCACTATATTTCTCATTAATATGTCTAAGTAAGATACAATTTAAATGCTTAGTTTTATGATCAAAACTCTGTAGTTTCATATAATGCATTGCAATACAATCATGATTAAGAGATGAAGAAATAAATGTCCCTCTAAAGACTTATTTATTATATTGGATACATTTGAACAGAGTTTTCTAAAAAATGATGTACAGATAATCAAGTAACCTAAGTTTAAGTCCAGTAAATGTTCATCTTGACATATTACTATACATTTACTTTATAAAAAACAGAAAATATCTTACAGCAAATCCACACATGTACCATGCATGACCTGAAGGTATTATAAAATTATGAGAAAAAAAAAAATTGTGCACAACAGGTTTTACAGCAAGCTTTGATCATGCTGATAATTTCGAGGTCTTAGAAATGTACATATCAAATATCATACAGTAGGGTTTGTGCTAATGCCATACTTATCTCTCATTATAAAACTAATCTTTTCAATTGCAACCATCGCTTTCCATTTAAAAATAGAAAAAAAATCAAATAAGATCAAATAGATTTCATTTGTGGTGTATTTTAATCACTGTATTATCCCAAGTTGTTACTTTACAGCAAAATATTGGGATAATAGACCATGACCATAATCTAAAATTAGATATAGATTATGTGGTCACGCAGCCCACTCCTGTTTCATACACTTCTAATGGAGTCAGAGATCCCAGATGTCCTGGTCTGTGATGGATGTCTGGCCACCCCAATTTCTTCAATCGTAGGCAAGCAGGAAATCAGTGCAGAGATCCCGAGAAAGACAAGCAGTCAGAGGATTTGATTGGATGAGTTATCCCTCGACTGACAGAATACACAACACTTGTCTTTTTGCAGTCGGCCACCGCTGGCAAGGACAATGCAGAACGAGTGGGCGGCACATGGCAGAGAGCAGAAACACACTTCAGTGTTTATCAAAGCTTTTCATATTAGCTTGAGTGTCCGGGGTGTGTTTCCTTGTTTAAACTGCAGTAGAACTGGAGTGAAGTGCTCTGACAAATGCTCTAAATGGAGCGGCCAAGCGTTTTATAACAAGGAGCGGCTAATAACATAGCTACAGGACAAATGGTCTTCACTTTCTGTCAGTAAATATAGCTTTCCACCATATCTGCACTTAGCACAAGTGCTCCTATCACCTCTAGCGAAGGCGCTTTCCTCCCTCCATGTGGGTCACCTACATCGTTAATTCTGTTCACATCGCTAATGCTGTTTGCTTCCACGCTATTGTTCGCTTTGGCTCGAGGCACCTGTGGTGCCACCACCGTACGCCGGTAATTCGTGTCGCAGAAACTTCTCAGGCTGAATGTGGTTATGTAAGTGTATTCATCTAGTGGGCAGGCATATCCTAATGCATCTTCATGAAATGTGCACTGTTGAAGGCATTTTAAAGAAGGACAATGTTTTATTTTGTAAAAGGATTCTCTGGTTTTTATGGGCGTTTTATATACATATAATCATATAAATAAAAATGTTTAATTTATATAAATGTTATTAACACTAGTTTGTTAATTCTTTCTATTTTAATGTAATTAAATTTAATTATCATCACATTTTATGAATTTTCGTTTTTACAATTTTTATAGGTTTACAATTTCCATACGCTGTTTATGTTAGTAATTATATTTATAAATTAAATTGTCATTTATATTTTTATCTTAAATAATATAAATATATATATAAGAGTTTGTTTCCATTTAATTATCAAAAAAAAAAACATTTGTAAATCTTGTTTACAGTTTCCATACTGATTTTTAATGCAATATCCCTAAATTTGCTAAAACAAACAAACAAACAAACAAAACGCATAGAAATTCACAAATACAAAAATATAAAATTTCATAACATTCTGGATCCCAAACATTTACATGAGCTTTTTTATTTTATTTATTTTTTTATTTTTTTAAACAGTTTGTGCAGTTGTAGTTTGAGTTTTCAGTTGCCAGTATGGAAATGGTTAAAACTGACATGCTAGCATAGTCACTAATGATAACCAATCCAAGATAATTGCAAAACCTCAGCCATAAAGAGGAGAAACATCGGGTAGCTGCATGGGGCTTTTAAACACTCAGTGACGAGCTGTTGTTTGTTCTGAGGGGTCCTCGGCGGTGCCATCATCCTTGATTTAGCCTTGAGTTCTTGCGTGTTGAAAGCTCCGGAGAGGAGATCATAATCATATTCAGTGTCTGATGAGAGCATGAATCACAGCCATCTTCAGTTTCTGTGCTATGAATTCATATTCTCTTCTGAATCCGTTTAATTGAGCAGATCTAGAGACCTCATCGAAGACAGTAAAATGATGCAGCAGTTATGAAACCCACTTATTAAAAGAAAAAGGTGGCAAACAGCTCGTAAATCTAAATGAAAAACACTGTATGTTTGGACAGACGTCAGTGTGAGTATTGACCCACTTGCAGTAGCAACCAGCCAAAAGAAATTTGAATTTGTATGTGGGCTTTATTATTATGCCGTCTGTCTGCTGTGTGTCCCCAGTGTTCAGGCAGAAAATTAAAGGCAAAGACAGAAGAGGCCTAATTTTACAGACAACCTTGACCAAGATTTGGCTGGAGCAAGACTGAGGGTCTCTGTGGATGACTTTCCCTTCACACGTCGACTCCTGCTTCTCCTTGCACACGTTTGCTTAAAAGCAGTCTCGCTGCATGAGCATAACATTCACAC